AAGTGGAAATTACCTGGTTGGATTGTTATCGGCTTTCAATAGATAGTCGTCAGGAGACTATCTTCATTTGAGGCTAATCCTTGGTAGGAAAAGATTTAACTCAGCGTTAATCTTTGGTAAGAAAAGATTCAACTTACCTTTAATCCTTCATAGGAAAATATTTATCTTACCATTAATCCTTGGTAGGAAAATATTCAACTTACCATTAATCCTTGGTAGGCAAATATTCAACTTACCTTTAATCCTTAGTAGGAAAAGATTCAACTTACTGTTAATCCTTACTAGGAAAAGATTCAACTTACCATTAATCTTTGGTATGAAAAGATTCAACTTACCATTAATCTTTGGTAGGAAAGGTTCAACTTATATTTAGGAAAAGATTCAACTTACCTTTAATCCTTAGTAAAAAAAGATTCAACTTACTGTTAATCCTTAGTAGGAAAAGATTCAACTTTCCGAGTCTTGATACAAAAACTAGGTACAGAATACCTGTAGTGGAATTCGGTTACTCTTGCTCTGGTGGTTTTTTTTTCACTACACGTTATTTTTAATCTATTGCCTATTTATTCAGTTTACCCTCCAATGTTTAATTTATACATTGTTTTATGGGCCATTTTCAGTGATACATTTGTTACCATTAGAATTACAAGCTACTAAAGAAATGTGCAACATGAATATTTCTCACATGCTTTGTTCTTAATTCCTCTTGGCTCGGCCTAGTAGTTAGTCTGTCGGACTGGAGATCCGAGAGTCCCTGGTTTGAGACGTGGTGCTACCAAACACAATTTGCACTTTTAGCTATGCGTATGCGTTATAAGATTGACAATCAATCCCGCTAATCGTTTAAGAGTACTCACTACAGGCGGTGTGTGCTGTCGAGTGGTTGTCTTCCCTTTGGCATAAAGTTCAAATTCTGAACGACTGTACCTGAACCATATGGAGCTATGACTTGGCCTATAACAAAGTTGTGAGCAATTTGAACTAACGAACATAGTTTATCTCTCATAAATTGGAAAATATAATTAACGATTTGTATCATAACTCGAAACCTAAAACCAAATCAGAATAATTTTGAATACCCGCAGCTACATTTCGTCAGCAGCGTCTTTCTATTCTGTTAGTATGTATCTTTGTATTTTTGTAACTTTTCTTGCAAATAAAGAATTATTGACAATTATTTAGGAGTATGAAGAAGCACAATACAACTCCTCCAGATCTGGAAAGAGAAACAGGTTTGAATCTACAATGGTGTTTGACAGAATTAATAGAATTGCTCTGGACTGGACAAGTTGGCTGTTCTGTGTTTTTACTGCATTTTTGAAGAGCATTTTAGAGCTTTTCTTTTCACTGTAGAACGAACAATTCTCCTATAACTGATTATTTCCAAGGGGAACAAGTTAGCAGTTCCGTGTTTTTACTGGAATTGTGAAGAGTATTTTGAGCATGTTGTCATTGTAGAACGAAAATTTCTCCTATAACTGATTATCTACGAGGGGAACAAGTTAGCAGTTCCATGTTTTTACTGCGAATGTGTACAGCATCTTAAAGCTAACTGTAGTCATTGTAGAACACAATGAACTGATAAGTCTCATACAACTGACTCTCTTTGAAGTGTAAACGTTGGCAATTTTGTGATTCCGCTACGATGGTATTTAAAGCTAACTGTAGTCATGGTAGAACATGAAGGACAGACAAGTCGCCTATACTTGAGTATCTCGGAGTTTATGGACTACCTGAGCCGAGAAAGCAGGTGATGATAACAAATCCAAATATTGCAATGGATGATGATGAGGATGATCAAAGCAGTCTAGTACGTTCTCAGACTATAGTGACAGCTAAAAAATCTTCATCAATCAAGGGGTGATAGAGACTGGCTTTCTTTCAAGGACGACAACTGCTCATCCCTCTTGATTCAATACACTAGCTTGCCCACAGCTGGGATGATAGCTACGATAAACAATTAAGACTGAGATAAAAAAATCTATAATAGCAATTGAGGACAGGGCGCCAAAGAGATAGATAATGTTCACTAAAGTCAAACAGTTCAGCCATTTTTCCTTAAAAAGACCAACCAAGAAGGACTTGGGACATTATAAAGCTGTTCCAATATACAATTGAAGAGAATAGATGTTTACAAACATAGGTGTTCCAGTGATTGCTGCCTAGTTCAAAGTTACTAATGTCGGATGCAGCATAACCAGTGATGACTGTAGGAGATTGATTGTTTGAAGTTAAGCACAAAGCTACACAATTGGCTATCTGTGCTCTGCCCACCACGGGTATCGAAACCCGGTTTCAAGCGTTGTAATTCCGCAGACATACCGCTGTGCCACTGGGGGGCGACTGTAGTAAAACTAGTACTGGTTACAGTATAATCAGTGATGACTGCAGTAGAACTAGTGCTGGATACAGTAGAATCAGTTATGACTGCAGTAGAACTAGCACTAGATGCAGTATAATCAGTGATGACTGCAGTATAAGTAGTACAGAATGTAGTAGGATTAGTGATGACTGCAGTAGAGTCAGTAATGACTGCAGTGGAACTAGTACAGGATGCAGTAGAGTCAGTGGTGGCTACAGTAGGACTAGTGCTGGATGCAGTAGAGTCAGTGATGACTGTACTAGAGTCTGTGAGGACTGCAGTAGAACTAGTACAGGATGCAGTAGAGTTAGTGATGACTGCAGTAGGACTACTGCTGGATGCAGTATAATCAGTGATGACTGCAGTAGAACTAGTACTGTATACAGTATAATCATTGATGACTGCAGTAGAACTAGTACTAGATGCAGTATAATCAATGATGACTGCAGTAAACTAGTACTAGATACAGTATAATCAGTGATAACTGCAGAAGAAATAGCACTAGATGCAGTATAATCAATGATGACTGCAGTAAACTAGTACTAGATACAGTATAATCAGTGATGACTGCAGTAGAACTAGCACTAGATGCAGTATAATCAGTGATGACTGCAGTAGAACTAGTACTGGATACAGTATAATCAGTGATGACTGCAGTAGAACTAGCACTAGATGCAGTATAATCAGTGATTACTGCAGTAGAAATAATGCAGAATGTAGAAGGACTAGTGATGACTGCAGTAGAGTCAATGATGACTGCAGTAGAACTAGTACAGGATACAGTATAATCAGTGATGACTGAAGTAGAACTAGTACAGGATGCAGTAGAGTTAGTGATGACTGCAGTAGAAGTAGTGCTGGATGCAGCAGGACTAGTAATAGATGCACTACAAGTAGTGCTGGATGCAGCAGGACTAGTACTGG